CTGTCCCCGCCCCGCCCCGTTGCCATCCCTAGCCGGTAGATCCATCTATATATATTTTTATTATAATTAATTAAATATTTTAAACAAAGAAAATTAAGGAGTGAGAAAAATTATCCAATAAATATCAATAATTAAACAATATGCATAAAAATATTTTTAACTAATACTAATAAATATATATTAATTCTTCTTAATATAAAAATTTGAATTATAATTATAATGACTAGTCAGGATAAATGAGAATTATAATGAAAAATAACAAAAAGTTATTTCACCTTAAGTTTTACTCATTTAAATTTCCAAGATAGACCTCCAACTACAAATTAATTCAAACTTTCATTCTTATGATCATAGAATAATAGTTATCTTTATAAATACATGAAGAAATAATAACAAGATAAGCTTAGGATATTTTAACAAACTATATTATAGTTAGAATTAATATAAAAATAATTAAGTTAAATAAGTTTAAATATTTTTATTATTTAAATTTAATATAATATAGTTTACAAAAATGGAATTTATTAAAAGTTATTAATTTATTAAATGACAGCGATAAACATCATAAAATAATTAAACAACATAAACAAACAACACCTTATTAATTATTTAGAGTAAAAAAGTATCATAGATTAAGCAAGTAAATGAGGTTAGGGACACCTCACTAATTAAATATACATAGATATAACATAAAATAAACAAACATAATAGTATATAAAATTTAAAAAGATAAAGGCCTCTTCCCCTTATCTTAGAAGTGTAAAATTATCAAGAGTTTAACTACTAAATTTTTGTTTTCTTCCTCACTTTCCTCTTTTTTCTCTCTTTGTCTCCTTTCTTCCTTCCAACGTACTTTTTTCCTCTTTTTTTTTTTTTTTTTTTTTTTTTTTTTACTCATAGTCCCCTCCCCTTGTTGGCCTATAAATTTGAAATGATTAATCTAGTTAACATTTAATGAGAATTTTTTCCTTTACTTTTGATCTTAACCATCTAATTACAAAAGGATAACAATGCATCTTGATTTTCTTGCAAAAATCTTATCCGTGTATTTAATGCATGGTCCTTTTTTTTGTAGATTTTTTTTAACTTGTTTCTTCTATAATACATATATATATAATGAAAATAATTATTTATATTAAATATTTACTAATTTTAAATATTTATTTTTCATAATAGTAATTAAAATATTATTCTAAAAAATATTATAAATAGGGTTTTAAAATTTTATAATGCCATTATATTTTATATATTTCTATTTTAGTTTCCTGGAAATATTGTGATAAAAATTCTAATGCATTAAAATTATATAAAGCATTGTATTTAATCTCTATTTATTTTAGAATATGACAACCAAAATTTATATTATTATTTTAAGAATAAGATAATAAAATTGAAAATATTGTATCAGAAATTTAAGATATTACAGGAAACTGAAGAAAGGGAGGAAGATGCCAAGAGCCATTTCTAATGAAACAATCCACAGTAGATGTCAACTTGGGATGCAAGGAGACATCTATATTAAGAATATCAATAATAAGCATTGAAAGCCACCTACGTTTCTCATGTTTTTTGTGTTGCTCTCTCTCTCTCTCTTTGTTTCGGCTACCAATCACTTTTATTTCCTTGAACTTTTCATGGGGTTTGCAAGTGATGTCTCTACCTTTTTGCCATTTCATTTTTGAACCCAACTTTCTACTCTACAACGTGCTTACACATGTTCAAATCTTATCTAATATTAAGTAAAAATTTATAGAGAAGATGGGTGGTTTAGCATTGGACAAAGGTGGCAGCTTTGGTGTCTTTGCACAGATCCCTTCACTTCCTTGGCCTATGGTTCACCATCATATTGCGGGTTTATATGATGGACGTTGTCTCTTGTCTCACTAAAATATCAAGTTCATAAGCACGACAAGTGCTTGCTTAAATGCCTAAGTGAACATTTCTAACTGTGCTTTACAACCTTATCTCAAAGGTCTGTAATGTTGTTATTGTTTTTCTTTTAGGGATACAGGAAACTTGATCATATGTTATATGTTTGAGGATGTTTGGATACAAGCTTAGAAGAGTTTTTGTAAGTTTCTCTATTGAAAAATTTTCAGTAGAGAAACCCTCAAAACTGCTTTTAATTTGTATTCAAATAGACTCTTTATATTCTTTGGTTGTATGGTTTTGGGTGAAATTACAAGTCACAACAGCTTTCGGTTTACATTCTGAGATCTTGTGCTGGTGTTGTTGTTGCCCAGTCTATTTGCCATCACAACCTTCATGCACTGAAGCACACACCCTATGTGAACTATAAAGCTTAGCCTGTCTCTGAGTGTTTAGGGAAGAGAATTCACAGTTACACTGCTTCAAAAACCAACTTTTGCTGTTGCAATTATGAGTATCATTCCTGTGTATACAAAGCGGGGAAGATGCATTTTTAGGTTTGACTGAGACTTAATATCTGGAATCAATTGTTGATTCCATGTGAATCTTTGGATCAAAGTCTATTGAATTGTGTTCTTTTCTACATGTGAGGGAAACACATATGCTTGGGTTTTAGGTGGAGGCTGGCATCAGTTTTGTATGGCGATGGCATGGGTCGGATTCTAGTCTCCACAGTATTGCTGTTTGTCTAAAATGTGAAAACTGAAAATTCAATCCTGATGTGAGAACTGTGTCATTGTCGCTTTAGATCTACAGTCTGGGTCATAATGGTTGTTTTTTTGGATGCAATCAACTTCTAAATTATGCATTGATATGCTTATGCAAATGCTAGGTAACAAAGTTGCAATGGCGTCCTGTTACTTCAATCCTATCCCTATTAGCTCTCAGCTCATTTCTGCAGATTTATCTAGAAAATTCAAGATTCCAAAGCTTCTTCACAAGGTAACTTTCTTGAGCTGATATTTGTTGTCTTAGTGTCAATCTCTTGCTGATAAGTTCTCCCTTTAAAATATTGTAATTTCTTTTGGTAGCTTTTCTGGTAATATACTTAACAACATGAACATGCGTGGACTTAAGGGTAATTGTCTGCATTTAGTCTTTTGTTGTTATGCCTGTCTTTTGATTATTTTTAATAAATGATGTTACTTACAGACAATAAAATAAGCAATTTAATTTTTTTTGGAAGACATGATAAATTGTTGAATTGAGCGAGCCTGATGTTCCACATTAAAATGCATGGGCTATTACTCTATTTCATGGAAATAGAAACAGATAAAGCTACAAAGTTAAGGCCTAAAATTGCAAAGTTTCCATTGCCTTATGGGGATTTCCAGTATTGAAGTTCAAAACATTTTCTTTAAAGAAGTAATATATAAATTTCAATCCTGCAAGGAATGTAATTATCTAATAGGTATAAAGTTGGAAATGGTGAGACTCTATAGTGTTGGTTTTTTTTAGGATAAATATGTTCTGTCAGTTATATATGTTTCTTGGTTTAAAAAAGTTTATGGCAATGTGGAGCTCCTATTGGGATAGCATCATATCTTAACATAGAACATTGTAAAGAGGTTTGTTTCTAAAGCATTCGAGCAAGCTAAATAAATTTCACTATCAGCCATGGATCTTTTTTTTTAATTATTATTTTATATAGATTAGAATTGATTTTATATCATTGCTGAAACCTGATTTCTCACAGGAGATTTCTTCCCTAAGACAATTTCCTTTCTTATTTGTGCTGACATGTTTGCCTCATTGTATTTTAAGCAGAAAAAGAGGTTTGATGGTTCACCTAGATCCTCAAAAATTACTGCATTTTATGGCCTGAAGACACCTCCTTATGAACTTGTAAGTTATTCACTCCATTTCCTGAATCATATTTTTGTTTGAAGGTAATTATACTGTTTTGGCCTATATGCTTGGATTAGTTGAGGCATCTAATTCAGCAGTAAGCTTATCAGAGAAATAATTGCATAGGTATTTACATTGACTATTGCCACTTAAGCTTAAGCCATTATAATGATGAAGAAAGAAACCAGGAATTGAGAAAAAGAATATTATAATTGACCAAGGGATGTCATTACATAGAAGGTTGTGTTTATGATGAAACAATTACATCCAACCTTCAATGAACTCTAAAGTGTAAGTTACCCTTTTCCAAAAGTTATTTATGTGAAAATTTATTTCTCTAGGATAATTTCTTTTTATTACAGCCATTGTGTTTATTCAACACCTTCAATTAATTTGTCTCTATCTTGGATAAAATGGAAACAAGGTATTACGTTTTGCTGCATGTGCAAAATATATCAACATTCAGAGATAGCAAGAGAGGAAAATGACAACTAGTTATAACTTTTTAAGGAGGGCAGAGTAGGAGAAACAATAAAATTTCCATTCATCATGTAAACTGACGCTATTAGATTTTTATAAGACTTATAGCCTATGTGACAAATTGATAATTAGGAATCCTATAACCCTTTTGTGACTCATAAACTGGATACTCATTATTACACAAAGCAGCCACTAGTGGGCCCTTTATATCATTGTTATCATAATTGATAATTCTGACTTTGTTTTGCTGCTTCAATATTTCTTAGGATGCCTTAGAGCCATATATGAGTAAGAGGACAATTGACATGCACTGGGGTGAATATCATCGGAATTTTATAGAAGGTTTGAACAAACAGCTAGAAAAGGATGATATACTATATGGTTACACCTTGGATGAACTAGTCAAAGTGACATACAACAATGGGAATCCGTTCCCCGAATTCAACAATGCAGCTGAGGTACTTATTAGATTGATTGCTCTCTGGCTTGGATCATTTTAAATTGATTATGAAATTGCTCCCTTATTCATAAAACTATTCAAAATGCTCCGGTGTATATTATATAGTAAAATTAGATATACACAATGTGGACAATATTAACCATCCCCAAAGATTTGCAGAATCACACTCATCTATCATCTTTCTTCAGAAATTACACCCACTTTCTTTATTTATTTATTTTTGTCTCTATGCAAGGCTGTTGTATAATGGTATATTATGACTGAAAAAGAAAAGTTGAAGAGGTCAGGTGAGATTAGTTTAGATAAATCTCAAGTAAATGTAATGTACTCCAAGTTATTTTTATTCAAAGAAATAAACAGAAATTTTATTGTTGGGGAATATAACTATATGAAATTATATATATCAAGCAATGGTATAATAATTGATTACATGTATTCAATGTGAGAGTGAATCTTCGTAATACATAAATAAAGGGAAATATTTAATTTAACACTTTCAAAGTGTAAAATTTCATCTTTTAGCTTCAAAAGTTTGTGTGTTTGGAATCAAATCCATAATGAGGATCATTACTCTCTCTCCTCATCTAACAAAAACAACAAGGAGTAGCTTCTCCATCAATTGAACCTATTTGATGTGATTTTTATTGTTGATGGGATTTTATGATGTTCCAAAGATGCTCTTATAGAGGGCTTCATTATTCTGAAATACTAGGATAATATTGGCTTTATCACAAGATAGGGACAATATTTTGACATGTTACTGGCCTATTGCTATAGAATAGGAACTGAACATGACAATTATTACTTATAAAACTTCAATATCTTTGAGGGTGGGTACCCAGTACCCAATGCACAGTTTTTCTTAATTCCAACCTAGAGAAAAATAATTTATCTGGTACTTTTTGAGAATTTCAATTTTGATGCTTTAAAGAAAGAACATCTTTCACACAAGATGTTTAGTTTCTAAAATTTATTATTTTATTTTTGTTATTATTAGTACTTTCGATTATGTAATGAACTATAATTTATATTTCTTATTATAATTAAAATAAAAAGAATTTATATAATTATTTAAAATGTATTATTATATATAATGTTAATTATAAGAATTTAATAATTGATTAAATATATTAAAATAATAAAATTTTTATATTTAATATTTAATATGTGTACGTATGCATGCATATTCTTCTTCAAGATGCATATTCTTAATATTAAAATTGTGTATTCAAATATAAGATAACCAAAAGCTTATATATAATAATGAATGAAATAATTAAAATTTTTAATTCAATAAGCTGTGTTTGAACAAAATCTATGTTACAGGACGTCTAGCATATAATGACGACTTCAGTTTGAAGAACTTTGGACAAAAAAACGTTTACCATTATACATACATGTCATACACAAAGCATACAATACAACATGCACAACACTTACCTTGTCTTAAGAAACCGTCACATATGATAACGTTTTTTTGCATCCTCTCTCTCTTACTTGACAAAAATAATTCATTTAGATAATTAATTTTTTAATTAAATTATTTTATTTTATTTTGGCTGAAAAGCCCATGACGTCTGTCAATGTTACTGCTTAAAATTGTTATTAATGTTAATATAATTATATCAATATATGAACAAAATACTTATTTTTTAATTATTTTTTCTTACATATTTTTATATCATTACACTTAATTATTAAAAAAAATATTTTTTTTAGTAACTATTATCAACTAACTCTTTGAATAACCGTTTAGTTCACTATATTTTCTCCCTAGTATATATAATAAACAACTATGATATTACTTAAGGTGTTAATTTAGAACAATAAAATTTATTATATGTAGTTAATTTTTTGCTAGAATTTGTTGTAATTATATGCGGGAGTAGTAGTTGTTAATTTCAACGAGATGTAATAAATAGTAGTAGAATTTTATAACAAAGAAGAAAAAAGAAAGTGTTAGATGTAATATAAATAATACGGTAGAAAAAGATAAATATAACAAATTATTGTATGATTTATTATATGAATAACACATTTTATTTTTAATAAAATTTGTACTTAATAATTATTATTATACGTGTGAAAATTATGTGGATTATCATATTTTTAGAATGTGATTCTATAATCACATTCTAAAAATACGGTAATTTAAAGTAGTTGTGAATGTGAAATTTAATATGTGATAATTTTTTTAATTTAGTTTATGTGATGTGTTTAGTTCACGTAAACACTAACCGAATATTATGTCACATAAATTAAAATAACATTGTCAACGAATTTTTATAAACCAACTCGATTAACAAACTATTTTTTTTAGTTATTTAACCATCATACACTTTTCGGAATCGATTTAATAGTTTAACCGTTTCAAAACATGCAACCGTATCATTTATTTAAGACTTTTTATTATAATTCAAAGTTATATGCTTTATCTTCCCAATTTATTTATTTTGCAATTTTCTTGTCTTAGGGCTTCTTAGCCAGATTTTCTCTCTCTCTCATAATATCCAATTTTCATGTTTGCAAAATTGTGTTAGGATTGATCAAATGTAATTGACTTCTTGTTTTTGTTGGAATATTTATTTTTTAGTGTTTATTAAAATTTCAGCACATTCATATTTTTTTTCCCTTTCTATTTGGCACTTTAGTTTTGTCATATTGCTTTTGATGTATAATATAGTTTTTCATCGTTTGGAGGTCTAGAGTGAAATAGGTTAAGGCTACCAAGCTTTCATTATTTTTGGTTCAGCATTTAATCATGCATATCTTTTTTTATTAGGATGTTGTATCTTACGATAATTATTTGTGCGAGAAAAGAAGTGTGTTCAGTTTAATGGATGAAACTTTGGATAAATATATTGTTTAAGCCATATCAACATAGTATTTTAGAAATTTAATTAATGATTTTTTTTTCTTCACAATATCCTTGGTAAATTATTCTGTTTATGTGCACCATATGTTGCATAAAACTTTTTTGATTTGAAGCCTTACAAATATTGTTGTTGAAAGCCTAATGTAGGGTAGAAAAAATATTTAATTGACTCGTTTTTTCTTTATAAAAATATTGATTTTGTTGTACATGTCCCTTAAAATTTGCCAAGAGATATATTGAAATTAAGGAAGATTGAAATTTTTTCCTTAATTTTTAATTTTATTCACATATTTATTTGTTCAAGCTTATTTATTAAGCTTTAAGTTTATTTGGATAATTATTATATTTATTTTCTGTGAATGAAAATTGAAAAGAGTTTCATGTTAGATATTGTATTGTGAGAACTAAATAAATGAAACACCGCATCGACATTTGTCACACAAATTAATTTGTGTCCATTTCTCTTTTCTTATCACACATTATTAATTATATTAATCACTTATCTTTCATTTTTTTTTATTATCTCTAGTGTACAATATATAAGCATTTGTCGAATATCCAACTTTTTTCCTTTTATTTTATAGTGTAATATTTTTTCTAAAAGATATTTTAACATATTTTACTTTGATAGAACTCGAGACAACATTTAAAACAGAATGTAATAACTAGACAGGAATTATTATACCCACTACATCACACAAAAATTTAATAACATTTTTATATAATTATGCAACATTTTTAAAATATTATCAAAGTAATATTTTTGGAACATTTTAATGATATTATTAAGTTTTTGTTAAGTTTATAAAATAATAATTAATTTTAATTTAGATATTATTATCAATTATTATATTTTTATTATTTCTAAACTCTTAGGAGTTCTTTAAGAGAAGGTTGAAGACATTCTTAATTAGTCATTACTAATTATATATTAAATATCAAAGTTCATTTATCTTAAGTATAACTATGTAATTATATATATTTTTTATGAGTCATTCATTTATTTGATGTAAGACTTTAATTATAGGTAACAATTAGAGATGACAAAAATATAATTTTTTTTACTCGATGTGAAACTCTGATTTTAGACACAATTAAAGAAAATAGTGTTGAGATAAAAAAAAATGTTACTTATATGTAGTAACATTTTTCAAAAACAAATATTAAAAAATAACCTGTGAATTTTTTTTTACTCGATATAAGACTTTAATTTTAAAAATAATTAAAAAATATATATTGACATAAAAATGTTACTCTATTTTTTAAAAAATATTACAAAATAATTAATTTATTTAATATATAATAATATTTTAACAAATATAAAAAAGAAAATATTATTAAAGAATTAAAATATAATAGTGACCCATTAAAAATAGAACATTATGTAAAGGGAAAACTAAAAGAAGAAAGAGCATATTGTGTAGAGTTATCAAAACGGGTCAGCTACCTTGACCCGCTTTAAAAAGGGGGCCAATCTAACTAGACTCACTTTTGATTTTCTCAAAAAAAAAATATGGTTCGGCCCGGCCCACCACTTGTTGGTGGGTTATACAGGCCAGGCCACCAGCCCACCAAAAATTAAAAAAAAAAATTATCAACAAAATTCAAAATTTTAAATTAATTATAAATTATCATAATAGTCATAAAATTAGCATCATTAATAGTCATAAGTCATAATTCATCATACAAAATTAAATACAAATCATGATAAAAGTTCAAAATAAAAATTTTTAATAACCCTATTAACTACAAATCATACTTAAATTTTCATTGCAAAAAAAAATTTGATGGGCTGGTAGGCTGCTCGGCCCACCACAGGTTCGGCCCAAGTGAGTCGGATGAAAGTGGGCTGGGTTGAGATATTCTTATCTATTATAAAACATCTATTTTTTTTTATCCGGTCCGGCCCGTTTTCAAGGTGGGCCAAGTTGGCTACGGGCCTCAACCCATTTTGAAAGCCCATTTAAGACAAGATTATTGTGACTAATTTTTCTAATAAAAAAGTTACAACAACAATAATAAAAATTTGAAGTTAAGTTTTCATATATGTATCTCGATGTGAATCCTAGGTGGAACTAATTTATTAAGAATAATTGAAGGAGAAGCGAAAGTAGAGAGAGTGATGGGAAGTTGTTAGAAAGAGAGACTGACAGGTGGAGCAATGCAAGCAGAAGACAGTAAAGATGAAAATGTGGTACAGCCTACAAGCTGCTAACGCCCGGCAAACACTGAATTTCCATTAATTTCAATATGGACGAATATAATAATGTTATGACAACAACTCGCCGACGAGTCATACCAAAAATCTCACTTTTCATAATTAATCCATCCAAATTCGTCATTTTCATGTACAGTTCCTCATTTTTCTATTTCATCACGAAAAAAAAAAAGTAACATTCTTTTAAGGTTGAATGTCTCTTTAAATATTGTTTTATTTCATTTTGCTTCTTCTATATAATATTTTAAAAAATAACTTATGGCATTTATTATTAATGAAGTTACATCTAATCATGTAATGTTAATGACCATATAAAAGTAACGTATACAAAATATTAGAGCAACTTTAATAGGAGTTGCTTGTTCTATAAAGAAATTCAAGTCTCTATTTCTTGTCATTGAAGTTATTTTTTCAAGTAATCGTTGCTTACTAGATTTCAAGTAAATCTTATTGAACATATTTAGTAACGTTTCAGAAATAATAATGATGAAAATTAATTTCGCATAATATTTATGTATTTACTATTGCTTTATTTTAATTTTAATATCTATTTATTGTGTATTTTTTTTCGTAATTTATTTTCTTTCATTGTAGTGTAATTATCTTTTTTAATAAAAAAATTTAAATTTGGTTCATAAATAATTAGAAAAAAAATTCTAAAAGTTGAATTTCTTAAAGTTTCTTACTATTGAAGTAAATTTGTGTTTGAGTTGCTTAATGCTAACATGACACACTAAGAACCACTTTTTTCATTTTTCAATGCATGAAATAACTCATTTGAG